GGGCGCAGAAAATCGAGTGGTCGGTGTAGACACACGCGGCGGCGTGCTCAGCGCTAAACCTGGCAGCCGCAGTTCTCGCAGAGAAAGGCGGCCACCCACCGGCCTTACACAACTCTTTGCTCCAGTTATTAGTATGTGACTCTTTTGCCGGTCGGGCGACCTGACGAACCGTGGCGTGCGACAGGACGGTGCCGGGTTCCCGTTTCTCTTTCTCTCCTTCTCGAAAAAGACACGCGATGGCTAAATTATCCGCGCCGCGATCCTCGCGGGGCACGGCTTTACGCGCTTTCGAAGCTCTTATACGCTCCCAAGGCTGTTACGCTTACCGGTCGGCGACCGTCGTCGCGGCGCGGCGCGGAGCGATCGAAAGCGAGGCGATTTGCATGAAACGCCGCGTTTCGTTTAATTCGCCGCGAAGACAAACGCGCGCGCATTCGTTTTCTCAAAGCGTCCCATCGCTCCGATAAATCAATCGGAAAGCAATCTACTCGGGTACAATAACGTTACGAATCCATTATCGTTTTCCATTTATATCGTGAAGTGCGTATTATATATCGCGAACACGATTAAAATATACGAGTTCTCGCCGTCCTCAGTTCGCGAGGACCATTTGGAACAGCATTTGCGGCGACGTTAAATAACGTTAAAATAATTGATGACGTTAGACATATACATGTCATAATTTCGCTCGTTAAACTGCGATTTATCAACGATAATGCCAATCTCAATAACGAGATTGTTACTCGTCGCACAACCTACTCGCGAAACCTGTTCCAGAAAACAATTTAAAGCGGCGACGGATCCTTGAGCGACTTGCTCGATTGTGATCGGAGTGATCTACAATGGTTGGGTATTACGCCACTGCGTGCCTGCCTACCGCACGTTTCCGGTTGGCATGAGATTGCCCGTTACGCATAACGCTCCTTTCGAAACGACTCAATTCTCCGTCTTTTTGTCGGCCGGCTAATTTTAAGACTTTTAATGCACGATGTATGCATACGGGGGGAGGGGGAGGGAGGGGGAGGGAAGGGGGATCGGAATTGCAGTCGATCCTGTTCGCGAATTAATCGCGGGATCCATAGCGCGGGATCGACGAAGGAGAAGCCGGAAAACGCGTTTACGAGCGTGATCATCACTCTTCCCAAGGAACTTGCGAAATACATTCGTCGGCGTTTTACGGATCCTTCCAGGGCTCCGGGCTCGCGATGATCTACGGCTCGCTCTAACGCGGATCACAAACGTTGGGCAACCGACTCGCAGCGCGATATGTTACGTCGTTTACGTAAGAGCGTAATTGCTGTCTATCGTTGAGAGTGTAAAATATTGTTAGGCCGTTTTACGAGCGAATCCGAGGAAAGTCGACGGGACTCCCTACGCAGGAATGTTCGAATACGCGCGGCGAACGCCCGGAAATTTTCGCGGGAGGTTAAAAACAAGCGGGGAGTCTTTCGTGATTTTGTATAAAAATTTAATGATTTCTTCTCGTCGGAGTCCAACTGTTAATGAACGTACGCTTCGCGGTCTCACAATTAAATTGACGAATTCGATAGTTAATTGCAATGCACTGCTAGGTTTACAATTGTTCATAAATTCATCTTTATCTCTGTCAAACTGAAACGCGAATGTTTTTGTCATGCAAGGAATTAGAGCGTAAGCAGATTAGTGCTATTTTTTTATTATTTTTCATCAAAGAATATTTTTTAAGGCATTTGACGCTATTTGTTTCGTAAGCAAAATTCACGAGGGAAAAGAAATTTGCAGAATGTTGCTTCGCGTCAGTATCAACCCGTTATATATGTTCCTTAATTGCACGGGCTGCGTGTAAAAAAATTTTCCAGCAGAGGGATTAACGTCTCACACCGCGTATAATGGGCAGTCTGAGTTATTCATGGTCCAGCTAACAGCGGCGCGTGATTATCAGCCTCGCGCTTCGCCTCCCGAGACCTCTTCTTCGAGTGTGGATTTCACGCGGAGATGTAATATCTAGGAAAAGCGCGCGTCGGCAAATTTCATCGCGTGAATTTCTAAACAGTTCCAGAAATATCACGATACTCTTTTTACTCGCAGAAATTTAGGACTTGCAATTTAAAAATTCGCTCCGAAAAATTCACGGATCTCAAAGACGTTGCGAACGCGGCGTCGAGGATTGCGAGAACGCGAAACACGCGAGAAAGGATCTCAAGAAAAACTCAAAATCCCGAGGAGGACTTGCGGTTTCAATTATTAGCAAATGAAAAAAAACCGCGAAGACGACGTCTTCTCTCTTGATGTCTTCTTTATCGCGATAAATTTTATTAATGAAAAAAATTTGTCCATCACGCGAAAGGGACATCTGTTCTCTTTGGGTTCTAACGGACGCGTCAGTCATCTATCACGTCTGCAATTTTCGCGAAACGTGTATTTACACGACTCGCGCGGTGTTTAGACGCGTAATATCTGCGCGCGATCATTAGCGGAAGGACGTTGGAGAAGCCAACCGATAAGTATCGCGCGATGTTTAAGTCTTAAACGAGCGAATCGCAAAATCCGTGTAATTTCGCTCGCTAATTAGTTGCACGGCAATTTTTTCTTTTTTCTACGGACAGCCGTTCGTTTGCCTTGCGAATCTACGGGACATCTGGCAAGCACCGCGACCACAAACGCCCTGATATTATCTTAATTGTATATCACTGGCGAAACGTCCGTCTTGCCTGGGATACGCAGTGACATATACGCGTAATTGCCTAAGCGTAGTCTTTAGGGAAAAATCGTCGAAAGGCATTTGCGGCGTCTCATCTGCACAAACTGCCCTATTGCACCAGATTCCCCTTACTATTAATTAGCACAAGGCCGTTCCCCGAATATTTCAATTCGAGCCGGTCTAAGGAAGGAAACATTAAATATTTGCAACGTAACAAACAACAAAATAACTTCTTTTCCTAGCGGAAGCACAAAGAAAAATTATGATTTTTATCACAACACTTTTTAATTTATAATTAATATTATATAATTTTATATAGATCGAGAGAGAAAGAGAGAACTAAATTTTAAATTAAATCTCTATTAAAGTCCACTGGCAAAGCTATCTTCGTCATTCATCTTTCCTTCCTTTTGCTTCGTTAGAAATTTATTTTTAATTAAATAATTAAGACCTCTCTTAAATCATTAAGACTTCTTGTCAGAAGAGGTCGACTTGAACTAACAATAAGTCGTAAAAAAATGGTGCGAAAGAAGCAAGACCGCCATGTATAATACATATAAAAATACGAGTTCCAAACTTGGAAACTATACTAATGCGAGAACGACCGGCGAAATCAATTTTCCTTGATTCTATGCCGGCGACGACAATGATTTATACTTCAAGGTTCAGGGGGAGAAAGAGTGTATTTACATAAGGAGCTCGTGAGCTCGCGATACGGGCCAGAGACGGGACCGGACAATTGGATTTGGAAATCGCGCGCACCACGCCTACGATTAATCAGGCGGGGGCCACCTTGAACTCGAGCCACGAGTTATGATTAACGACGTAAAACCGCTCTAATTGGCCTCCACCGCCGGTCGGCGCGGACAGCGTTAACAACATTTGGGACGTGCCAACTGTTCGCGCCTCGGTATAAGTGAATTTGCGACGCGGTGGCAGAATGCATCTCGACGCTAAAATTAATAGCCGGAATCGGAAAATAAAAGGTTCCGGGATCTTTCGCAAAATTTCTCGTCGGAAAATGAAACTGCGAGACGAGAATGTTAAGAAATAATTTCCTAATTAATTTAATTTAATTTAATTTTAGTTAAGCCACGGGTTCCGTTGCTAACGAAATAAATCCTAATCTAATTTTGTCAATATTAATTTCTACGTGCTGCGTGAGTTTGTGTGCGACCGATAACGCAAATATAATAATATTATTATTATTATTAATGTACGAGAAATATGAGTATAATAATTCAATGGTCTTAGAAGTCAAGTTTTTAGACGAGAGCAGCCTTGATAAACCTAAATATAACAACGAGCAATCACGTCTGTCACATTCCTCAGTGTCAGCCCTGTGACAGGTTTCGATCGGGTATAGCCTTCACGCGACGTAGAACGTCCGGGAGAAGGACAACGTAATTTTTGCGACTTACATTCTACCCTCAGGGGGGTACCGGCGTCTGCTCGCGTCTGCTCCAGTCCGCGCAATCTAAGGCGCCCACGCTGTATGTCATCTCGTGTTCTTGAGTCACCGGCCTAATCGCCACTTTCAGTCGTGCCCACGTCTGGCATCCGAGAGGACTTCCCTCGCGAAGAATCAAAGGATGGATGATGATTAGCTGCTGATAGATTCCGATGAAATTCTGTCGTTCATGTATGACTCCGTTCTTTTACACTATTTACAAACCAGAAAAATACTCTCGAATATATCATTCTGAATTTTTCAAATATTTTAAAAAATGGTCTCAGTTTTATTTTTGTAATTTTCATGTATATATAGAAAAAAAAGTTATAATTAACGACGTGACAAGCACTTGGATTGCCTACTGCCAATTATGTCAAAATTATGTCATAAAAATATACAAAAATGTCATGCAATCCCGCGACGTGAAGACTGACTTCGTTACCAGCTTCTGGCATAAATTAACTTTGACGGCGCATAATTCTCGCATACGTCTCTTAACCATCAGCGAAAACGGTTCGGTTTAAATGCGCCGACGGGAAGCCACGCACGTTGCTGCGCATGAAAATTGCTGAGTAACTTGAGTGTCAACGTAACACCTCTGGCATGACCGACGAGACTCGTGAGTCATGAAAATGGCTCACTTAATGGAAGCAATCGCTGTCAATCATTATGCATAAACCGCGTCCAATCCAAGTGACTGTAAATCTTTCTTCGGCAATGCTAAAAGTCGGGATCCTAGAAAAAGTCATACGACGTCGCGCAAGTCGCGCTAGTAATCAGGCGTGAGATATTCTAACGACTGTTAATTGCGATTGTAGAGCGATAGACTCAGGAACTGCAGCTGCGCCTGTGCGATTTGAAGTAATGTAAAATTTTAAAAATACAGTTTTATTAACGATCTTAACGCTACGTTAATGCATTCCACTTATATTATCTATTTATCTTATATAGCTTATGGATGTAAATATAAAATATCACTGTGCGCACTACCAGCGTGCTCTCGTTGTCTTTAAAATGGATTAGAATATAAGAAGAACGTTCATAAAAGACTCAAGAATTAATGTGAATTTGATCGCGTGTCCACTTTTGTCATCTCAGCTTCCTTGTCCCTCATGTCAATGACGACCTGCGAATTTTCATAAGTACCAACGGTTACAGATACGCAAACGTTTGTGTAATAAATTTTTAACACACAAAAATATATAATTTAGCATTAAATATTTAATTTGAATCTTATCTACTTACTTTGCCTGGTAGTACATTTTCGGAAATGGACCGCAAGGCGTCATTGACTTTGTGCATGCCGGCGATCAACGAGTAAGATGGTGCAATAAGCCCTTCTTCGAGGAACTGCAGGACGTCGTCTCCTGCTTGGCTATTTTTAAGACGAACGAATTAATGAAATGTGTTTTATCAACATAAAGAAAGCTACGAATGAATACATAATATGTAGCGTACCGATACACGTCGGGCTTCTTCTTTTTGTATTCCGCCAGATTAAAGCCAGTGACGCTGAAGGAACCCTTCTGCACTTCCGAACCGTCCGCCATGGTCGCCGTCGTGCCAGCTACGACCACGCGCCCTTCATGACAGAGGCTACAAGTGAATGCACCGTCCAACGTTAAGCTACGGGTACTTCAAAATAAAAAACTGTAATACCTTCGCGAGACAAGTGATGTACCGCCACGGCGAAACTGTCATTGCGCAACAAGTCCCTTAACGTTGCGTCTTTGTAGATATCGGTAAAGCTAAAAAAATATATATCCTACCGATGTACTTGTGTATCTTACTTGACCGAGATCCAAACAGCGCTTTGTCCAAATCCATAAAAAAATCGACTTGTATATCGATAGGTCTGTTCTCAGAACTCACCAATCCAACATCTTCTTGAAATGCGCTCCGTCTTCGTTCTTAAAGATGGCCTTAATGTCTCGTTCGCCTGCGATGTCTTCTATCTGCTTAGTTAGCTTCTTATCTTTATATTTGAGAGCCGCGAACGCCCCCATCTCCCGTGCTCGATCGGCCCAGTCTTCCGTAGCGCAAACTCCAATGACCTTTAACAGTAATGTAGCAGATTATATTTGCAAGTCTTCTGCAGTCCATTCAATTTTCGCTCTTTATTTATCGATATTTTAGAAATAAAGTAATCCATACAAATGAAAAGAAAATGGTTATATCAAGAAAATACCTTCGCTTTAAAGACGTTTGTCGCAAGATCCACCGCTGCCAGGCCAACGCCGCTTACGCCGACGTTTATCAGAATCATGTCATCCTCGTTGAGACTGACTTTTCTCTCCAACGCAAGCAGAGCGATGATATAACTGTCCAAGATACTCGCTAGATCCGCGGTGCTAGCTGATCTCGAAGAAGGTACCTTCCATACATCCTACGTAAGAAAAGAATCATTATTAGAATGCTACCATTAAACACATCTCAGAGAATTCGAGTGCCGAATGTATTCTCACCTCAACTTCTGCCAAGCACTTCTCAGCCAAGCCCCCGTATCGCTCCTTGTTGAGAGCGACGACTCTGTCGCCTATCTTGTAGCCGCTTTTCTCTGCCTCCGCGCCAACCTCGACTAGCTTGCCAACAACCTCGTGACCGAGGATCATCGGTAATTTCGGCTCGAACGTGTGCAAGTTCTGACTGAGAAGTGCGTCGGAAACGTTCAAAGCGCAATAGTGAACGTCGATGAGAACCTGAAGAAATTAAATCAGTTGTCATCGATATACGATTCTCGATCTTATTAAGACTTTAGTACAAAATATCAGATCAATAGAGAAATAATTGTAATTGTTATTGATACACATTCTTCATATTATTGTCATTTAAATGTACAACATTAGTTACAATTATAAAGATTATATTATTTAATTTCTAAAAAAAGATATGCCCCTAATCGGCATGCATGCCTACTTCATTCTCCTGCGTTCGTTTGGGCACCTCCAGATTCTCTATTACGAGAGGACTGGAGAACTCCTTCAGCAACGCGGCTTGAATTCTCCCCGGCTGCGGAGCCGGAGCGACGCTCGACGCGCACTCCGCGCTTTCCGCGGTGCTGCTAAATCTACTCGCGGCGACGATCCGCGGTGACAGGCCGCTCAATCTGCTCCTGCCTAATTTCGCGAGAATTCGGCATCCTACCGTTGACGACATGTCGCGAACATAAAGTTAATTACTTCGAATATACTTCGCAAACACTCATGCGCCTCTTGACAATAACATAACCTAATGGCTCCAATAATTCCACAATAAATAAACAGGCGGAACAGGAAGGAATATTTCAACGCCATCTACATTCTGCTTCAGGACTCACATGGGAAACTGAATTCGTTCACGTGACAACTCGACGGAGAGTCTCGCAAAATTCAAATCCACGCAAACATGCTTCTACGAGAAAATATATTAATTGGAAAGTAGAAAATATTAAAAAGAAAACATTGGAAAATATATATAAAAAATATTAACTGGGAAACAGTGACAGATTTGTCCGTTTTGCCACTAACTAAAAATTCAAACACATTTATCCTCTTTGCAAATTTTTTTTCAGATTATATATTTTGTTCATTTTTAAAATATCTTTGTAATAACATCCGCAGAATTATCGTATAATATATCGCGCGGCGTGATTTATATAAGACTTTATAATTCTGCAAGCGTTGTTTTATTAACGAAAGTTCGCTTATTTAAATGCCGCGAGCACGGATATGTACGAAATCGTCGTCGTTAGGATCTGAGAACACAGCGAAAGACACGGGGATTAAAATTACTGATAATCTAAATTCTAAAACGTCCGTAGAAGATATATATATATATTCTACGGACGTTTTAGAATTTAGATATATACAGGGTGTCCCAGAATTGGCG